AATTGGGAGCAGAATTGCCACAGTTATCTGGTAATATTTTTTATTCCATACCAGAGAGTAAATTTGTTGAAGGTGCGTTATGAAGGACAATGGATAATATTTGAAAAATTTGGCCCAAAGATCATCTTCTCCTGCAGTCTTATTGGTCTTAAATTTAGGAATAATGGAGATTATTTCTTTCTCTGTTGGCAACTTGCAGTTGCAAGCATATGGTTCGAGGAACGTATCAGCTATATGCAGAGCAACATATGGCACATCATGGTTAACTTTGGCCTTCCATCTTATGAGACGGTCCTTAATATTCTTGACTGGCACACCATTGCTCTCGTTTACCATTTACCATTTACCTTTACCATTTCACTGACCCCGAATTATAGTTACTTTATGAAGAAGACGAGTTTCCTATTATCGCCTAATCGAACCGCAGCCTCCATTCTTGGTCATGTCAGTCCAATAATGATTTCTGTCGTGCTGCTCTCGTTGTTCTTCGAAGCGGATAGTCAGGATCTCCTGATATTCGGGCTTTGGCAGCTTTTTCAGACAGTTGGACAGTTGCTTCCGATACCTAACTACATACCTCCTACTATTATGTCTAGCGTGGAAGTGGCTGATTTTCAGAGATATTTCTTTAGTTTGCCGTTCCAGAAAAATCATTGATATTTATATCACTGAGATAATGTGCTCACTGCCATCGATTATTGAGATAGTTTAAGGGTTTTTGGGGATACTGTTTTCTGCGAGTTGTCAATTTTATGCGGATCTTGGTTCGAACCATAACATAATCAAATCTATGAAGATTGCCCGTTTTAGCGCCACGGTAGGAACGATTATCTACGAAACTCTTCCAATAGTGACTGACTAAGATATAACAGTGACTGGTTGAAGCGTTGGTTATCCGGGGAATTCCACGTGACTAGATGTTTTTTACGATGCCGGAAGCAAGTATTAGTAATAAAAAATTCATGCTTTTCGGCATAACGAAGAAGGCGTACCACATTGGCGCACCGGTCTCCGATGCCATATTTGCCAATCGTAGAGATCTGCGATGCTACGTTCTGGACTGATTCGCACACCTCTCGAGTGCCGACAAACGATGCCCAGTATCCAGCCTATCGCGTAGTTGAATATTGTGGGGGAAAGGATGCAGCTCCGATGGAGACTAGTTTTCGAAGGGCTCTGTCAGTTCCCCATATACACAGACCTGCGCCAGTGTATGCTAATAAAATGCCTTTATGAGCCGAATGATCTTCTCTGGGACACCGTCACATTCCATCATTCTCCAGAGCGCTGCTCCATCAATCGAATCAAAAGCAGTTACAAATACGATAAAGCAAGTGATGATGGGTTGCTGGTATTTGAAGCGATGTTCCTTCTTAGCGTAAATATCTGGTCAGCACAACGGCACCCCAGTCTGAATCCAGCTTGGTTACATTCTGCTATCTCGTATTGCCATGAGTCTATATACAAGAAGGGAAGCAAAAATTGTTCCGGAGATGTCCAGTAGGCTGATTTCTCGATAATTGTCGCAGTACGTCCTATCACCTTTCTTAGGAATTGAAAGCAGAATTGCTTTGCTCCAATCTTCTGGTATTATTTTTTTCTGCCGTACCAGAGAATATATTTGTTGAAGGTGAGTTATGAACGAAGGACAACATTTGAAGAAGAGTTCAGTCCGAAGACCATCTTCTCGAGGAACTTTATTGGCCTTAAGCTTATGGATTACAGAGAGAGAAGCTTATGGATTATGGAGAGAGATTTCTTCTTCTGTTGGCGGCTCACAGTTGCAAACGTAAGGCTCGTTGGGCAAATCAGTTGTATTCGGGACAACAGATGGTGCATCGTGGTTAAGTTTCGCTTCAAAAAATTCTTTCCATCTTCTGACGCGATCCTTAACAACATAAGAACGACTGGTCGAAATCGAAACCACGCTAAGCACTGTGGTTGGAAAACAAACAATGGATGATGACCGTTTTCGAATTCTAATCTAATCTATAAACTAGCAGTGGCAGTGATCGAACGGTGATTATCACTGCACAAGAAACAACTTCGAATGCTTATGTCCGAGAGAATATTACACGAAATCGAAACCACGCTAAACTTAAATAAAAATACGAATCAATTATTATGGAACTGGTTAAACTACAGGAAAATTTTGGATTATTTCTGGAAACTGTAGCGAAATAAATAAAGCTTATTAGTTTACCATATTAGTGTTCATGTACGAGATCGATGGCATTTCTGCAGCCGAAGGAAGGAGAAATCATTTAAATGAACACCAAGATCTCAGTAGAGACTTGGAAGAATTATCGTACTGATCAAAAGTTTTGACGGTACGATTGCACCACTGCAATTGACTGATAAAAAATCAACGAGCAGACCAGTAAACCTTATACTTAATTTATTTAATTAATGAAGATTGGCAATAACTGGCCAAGACGAACAAACACGCCAAACATTGTCCTGAAGTGTGCTCAAAAAATAAGCAAAACTACAAATCGATATACACTGGATCAGCAGCGTAGAATGTCTCTGGACCAACAGAGAATAAAGGCCGCCATATTAATGATCGCGAAATTTCTCAATGGTCTTTTCTTGACAATAACATAAAGAAGGAGCGGGAATAGGGATTTTGGGCATTTATTTTTTATACCTTTTCGATATATACTTGTAATATATGATTTTTTCACTCGTTTGATAATAATTTCGTTTCGCGTTTTGTTCACATTATTATTGTTAAACATTTTTCAACGAAAAAAACGAACCAAACGCTGCATTTTTAAATTGCATCGTGATATATGCCTATAGTCATGACATATTCGACTCGAATAAAATTGGACATTTTATGTACCTATAGAAATAAAATTGCTAAGAATGCAGTATCATTCAGCAATCCACGCAGAAGTACCATGGCTATTGTCAGAATGAAAAATTTTTGGCAGAGAGTGACTTGGTGATAGAACTACAGATGACTGCACCATCGCTAGCACCATCCGAACCAGCATAAATGAGGTGTAATTATAAAAAAACTACGATATGCCTACTCAAATGCAGATTTTCAAAAGAATAATTAAAGAATGATAATTAATATATATTATTTAAATAACGAAGATATCTTACAATAAATTAATTTTTTATAACTTTGCGCCCTATTATTGTTTACCTTTTTGTTATTGTTGATATCTATTGCAAATGATGAGGAACTGGAAATGAGTTTTCCGTTAAAAATTTTTCTAAATGGCAATACTATCATACAGATTTACAGTCACCAATTAGTCATATTTATTCTACTTGTTATATCAATTTTTGCTCTTCTCTTTTCCTCATAAAAAATTTTTTCGCAAGTTCTTTTTAAAATCTCTTAATTAAGGAGTTTTCTTCGAAAAATATAATTAATTCTTACGCAAGATTGCATAGGTTCACAGGGGGTTATCATTAGATGAAAATTAAATTCAGGAAAATCCTCGAATTTTGAGAAGTCCTTTTATCACCAGTGACAAAAATTTAGGTTTTTTTCAGATTTTTGCCCATTTTTTCATTAAATTGGGCCAGTCATGATTTTGCAAAAATTTGTTCAAAACTTTGGCTATTACCCTTTAATTGTAGGTACAAAATGCCAAATGCAGAATATTACAGAATAATAATTAAGATCAAAATGCTAACAAACATAAATAAAAATATTAATTGAATATTTTATAATATCATACAAAAATTCATAGAAAGACAAAATGACCCATTTTGGTATGTGGTGATAGCCATAAGCCATCATTTCTTATATGAATAAATATAAGTGTCTCACAATAAAATAGCTGCTTTTAAATATAGATTTAAAAGCCTTCGCCACCGTCAAAAGACAAAAATCCATGATATTTGTAGCCTCAATCGAAGCTATCGAAGCTCGGTGGAAATTTTATAAAAAATTTTACAAAAGCTGAGAGACACTTACATAAAACATACAAGAGCACCAGAAAACATTTGGTTTAACACAGAGAATAACACTTCTTCAATAAAAATAATTCAAATAACAATTTTTTAAAATTGTTCTTCTTGCATCTAATTCAGAATACTAATAAATGTTCGTGTCAATTGATCGATTTTCTCACCAAATGATATAAAATTTTGCATTAACTAATCATATTTTCGCTAAAATAACCTTGGAATAGACATTGGGTATTGCAATATTGCATTTGCCATAAGTTAGGATACGTTAAGTTCGTTGTCATGCAAATAAACGCTATATCTTCTTCACCTATCATTTAAAGAAAGAAAATTTCCCGTTTCGACAAAAAAGGTTTATACTTATTCACTGGACTTTTTCTTTTATCCCCTTAAAGCAGTGGTTCTCAATTTTTTTGCTTCCTTACTATCTTAAAAATTATTAAAACTATAGAGGGCTTTTTTATGTATCTCCACATATCAGTCTTGATCGCATTAGAAATTAAGTATATTTTAAATTATTTATCTATTAAATCGTTTAAATTGTTTAATGTTGATCGTTCACTTATAATTTGCAAAGGCCTAGGCTATTTTAAAAAAGGATAGGGAAGGTTAATAAAATCTTCATGCTATTGTGAAAATAGTTTAGTCCTCGTTGACTTCTAAAGTCCTAGAGAAGTCCTAAAGAAGGGCCGAAGCATCTTTAAGAACCACTTTTTTGTAGAAAAAAATATTTTATATTAAGATTTACCAGGAATTAAATTTTCGGCCCCTAGTTTTCATAGAAAAATAATTGTTTCTGTAAGATAATTGCAACTGTTTTAGAAAATAATTGTTTCTCTGAAGACGCGTTCCACCGGAAAGAAAATATTTGTGACAATACTTATACAAATATACGGCTAATAAATTGTTTGATTTAATATTACATACTGAGCATATAATCATTTTAAAGGCTCGATGAACTGAATAGGAATTTCTGTATTTTTTACTATATTTTACAGGGTACCTTGTATGATCATTCGAGAAAGGTAACTATACACATGTATACATTATATATAAGCGATTTTTTATGATATTGATGATGTTGGTGTAAACAGCTCTTTATATAATTCTGGCAAAGTACCTCGATCAGCAATTTGCGGGTAGATAAGATTTAATTGATTAAGTAATCGAATATGTTCTTGAGCTAATGTTCTAAGTCGAGCAATGAGATCACAAAGTCTTTGCATCGTTGAACTGGAATCTGCTAGCTGAAAATTTTATTATATTTTATTATATATATATTATTAATTGTTAGAAAAATTGCAGTTTTTCAAAGACTCAAAAATTGCAGTTTTTAATAGGAAATTAAATAAATTTCCGATATTTTGAAGAAATTGACCATTAAAAATTTACCCTGGATACAATTTGCTGCTGCAAACAATTCCTTAGTTGTTCAACAATATATTGACCTAAAGATGACCGATCTAATAGAATCCACGCCGATAATAGAGCAATTTCTACTGTAGTAAGGTTCAGCTGAGCGAATTCGTGGATACAACCATGCATCTGAATTTATGCAATATAAATTATCCAATTTGAAATAGAATAAATAAAATCGAATTACCGAAAGAATAACTGAAATTTTCTGAAGGATTCAAGCTTAAATTTGATATTTTAAACTCAAACATATTTCCAGATTCCTATAAACTGAAAGTTCAAATAGACCAACACCAGCTAATCAAATAAATGCGCTAGACTTTATATATATCAGTTAAATAAAAAAATTGATTTCTGGCCCAAAATTTTTCTAATTTTCGCATATCCAGCATAAATTACAAGAACTAACCATATTCCCAACGTTCTGTGCGGAAAACTCAGAAAACCTAGCAAGAGGTTTCCAAGGGCCAATCATTTTCATTTAATGCCATGTTATCTGTCAGCAAATATAAAATGAAACTAACAGCGATAATGAATTGCATCTCAGACTGATCACTTGAATGAAATAATGTGGCAGGCAATATTTCTCGATCTATTATCAATGAAGTTGTCTCGATGTTATAATACTGCGAAACAACTATTGTTGCCAATTCAAAAACACCGCTTTTCAGTAAGGATATCTGTTCTTCTTGACTAAGCTGCATGAAACCGTCCACCATTTTCGCAAATTCTATTATGCATTGAATTATTCGAGTTAATTCATAAGCAAACTTTTTCCAACCCTCCAAACGATCCTAAAATTTTAAAAAAAGTATTGTAAAACACTTGTAAAAAAACTAAAAAGAGAATTTTTGAAATGATATATATGCTCGATAAATAAAATTCGTAATGTTGGGCGATATTTTGTATATATTTTTTATTTAAATAAAGCCCGTTGTGTAAATTCACCCAAACAAGACATATTGTTTTATGGTTGCTTTGATTCTTGCTGAGCCCACACGTTTTTCTAAGGCAGTAAAGAACTTTTGCTATAAGATACCAGAAAATTTCCGGTCTTCATTTCTGAACATTTGCACACATAAAATCCAGAACTTCTGGAAATGCCTTGAACTTTCTACTGAACTTTATGTGATGATGATGATGATGATGATAGCTTAACATGGCAAGGCTGATAAAATGATTGGTAACATAAATTCACGTTTTAAGCCAATATTTTTAAAATTATAAAGTCTTAATCCATTAAAAATATAAATTTATAAAATCTTAATCGAAATCTACAACGTTTTTAACCTCATAAAAAAAATATGAATGCTGAATTCAGGATAAAATTCTGGTAAATATTGATATTCTAAGATGGAAAATAAATATAAAATTTAAAATATTTATTGAATGAGCGAATCCAAAAAATAAATTATTAAAAATAAATTATTACGAAAAATTAATCTATTAAATGAATCTCGACACTCAAACTCCTTCGGCAGATCGTCTAAAAATTTGTAACCTGTGGTAAATTTTGATAATTTTAATTTTAAGGAAATTAAGGAAATTAAGAAAGAATGGGAAGAAGGTCAAGCAAATCGTGCATGAATTTGAAGCACTAGCATTTTGATCTCGGAAGGCAGGATATCCTGCTGAGAATCAATAATCTGGCTTCTGTTTTTGCCAGAATGAGCCTTTGAAAATTTGGATTACCGATATACTTTTATCGCCAAATAACTCCTAGCAAGAATTTCTATCCGTACTAACAGACCTAGCAAGTAGCAGAGAATGAGTACTAAATGATGACTGCTTTTTAAAAAAATTGAACAATCTTATAAAATTTCACCTATCACATAAATTTGTAAATTTTACAGCCTTAATTCAAATTTAAATGCATTAATATCCAATCAATTGGTATGAAATTATTTGATGTAATCAACACCACTGAGAACGCTGAACTTCGCCACTTATTATTAATTATTGGAATAAATTACGTAACAATGTTGTTAAAATAAAATTATTTTCATGATCAGTTTTATTAATTGGACGTTGAATATTTTAAAGTTAATATAAAAAACCTTGTAGAAAAAAATTTTGCATGGAAGAACAAAAAAATCCATGTTAACCGTGACTAAATGGAATTCAATTTTACTTTCTTTGAGCACCACTCTATTTCTAGCTCCATTACTATTAGAATCAGAGCACCACTCTATTTCTAGCTCCATTACTATTAGAATCAGATTCAAGAGAATTATATGAAAATAGAAATAAAGACGAGTCTTCACCCTACGTGAAGACTATGCAAGCGACTACATTCGCCCTGTTTCGAAACTGTCATTAGACCTGCGAGAATATGTTTGATTAAATACATGAGATAAAAACCTAGATTTTTAAAGAAATATATTATGGTGCCTATTGTATGGTTATTACTATCCCCATTATTGTAATTACTGTTACTAAAAGAATGATAAGATAAGATGGTGATGACACAGTAAGCTGTACTGAAGTTCAAATTGAATTTGGAAAACCTGAAATTAGATTTTGAATGATACAATAGTTTATAGTGCCAGTTAGAGTCATCGAACGCAAATTTAACGTAAATTTGATGGGAAATTCGGCAATAGAAAGACAAGGACAAGAGGTCCATGACCCGTATGCGTACCGTTCTGCACCTCCATCATTAATGCCTCTTACGTTTAATTTTACTCGAAATGACACGCGACCAATTAAATTTCAATACAACACTTTTTAAAATACTCTATAACAATGTTAATATAGAACAAATATTTCAAAACTATTTTGAAGTTCATTTCTTTAACTCATGTTTATTATTTATGGCATAAAGACATATATACATAAATATAAATATATATTTTTTTATATTTTCATATTAACATAATTAAAATAGAAGAATTTCTACATTTTCATATAAATTTCAAAATAAAAGAATATAAAAGATGACAGGCAAGCATTCTGGCAATAGTTTCACGAACGACACTGTTATTTTTATCGTTAATTAAATTAAAAATCTTCCATCAACGGCGATATCTATTTATCACTTATTTCTTCGTTAACATTATTAACTGGAAGTAATACGGTAAAGCCATAATTACAGTAATTAATTAATTAGAAATATATACACGGTCGTTATAAATATTCTAAGCTTCAGAATCAGAATTCAAAAGTATTAAAAAATTTTTGCCATGGAATTACTAGTACAAGTAGTTCGTCAGAATTAGTTGGATTTTCTGGTGACAAGTGTCATGACAGCAAATCGACCCTATAATGCCTTAACATACCGCATGTGGTTGATTTTTTAGAGCGTGTAAATGTTTGCTTGCTCAGGAGCACAGGAAAATATGCAAATAAAGCAAAGTTTGGTATGATTTATTATGATTAGGAATAAAACGTACAAAACTACCAATGATTGATAAATCAAAGATATAACTTTGCTTATTAATAAGCTTCGCAAATAAAATAATACAAACAGTTAGGAAAAAATCTTATGAATTTAATAGCTCTTTGTTTAAGTTCAATGAACTATTTTTAACGCATATTAGAATTTCACCGTAAAATATGACTGATCCAGACATTTTTGTTCTCTTTCAGTGTCTTCTATGTCTTTTAAAAAATGTAAAATAAATAAAAAAGCAAGAGAAATTTAACCATATTGCGATATCTTTGTTCGGTAAAATTATCAATCGGATGAGCATTTCCTCTGTCCCTCCTCAAATTTGTATTATGTGCTGATTCAAAAGCTGTTGTGATACTAGTTACGAGATCATCATCACGTTGTGTAGATCCTATGTTTGTGCGTGGATATCCACCATTAGGTGCTGGCACTGCTGCCTAAAATCTCTTTGACTATTCTCTTTAACAAAAAAAACAAAATCAGGTTTCCAAAAAAAACCAATTCAAAATTTTGCGTCAAAAATTTATCGTAGTGAATATAATCTTAAAGTCAAAAACAAAATGGATATGAACGAAATATTAATAATCACCTGTTGTGCGATAGAATATCCTTGCCCTTGAATTGAAGGATAACTTACTGGGGCAGCAGCAGCCGTATAACCAGCCGTGTTCGCGTAAGATGCTGTATAAACTGATTCATAGCTATTTGCATAAACTGCATGGCTTGGAGGTGAATAACTATTATAAGGACTATACGATATACCATTCACTTCAGCCATTTGTTTGTGCAATCGAACCTTTAAATTTTTCATTTAAGTCTTTCACGATTTTTTCCATATTTCAGATTTTTGCATAGGATTTTAAATTTTATGGCAAATAATTAAATCACAAATGAAATTTTTAATTGGACCAAAATTTTGTGCAAAATTTATTAAATCTATTACTAATATAAAATTTAAGTATAAAATTCCATAGTTTTGCAATAATGTAAAAAGGATTGTTTGTTGAAATTTAAGGTTCGTATGTAAAATGATTTAAAAAATCTAAAAGATAATCATTTACTTCATCTTCAACTTTTTCGCGTTGTTTTTTGCTCATTCGGCCAAATTTTACGGCATCTCGGCTCATTCCAAGTTCAAGACATTTTTTAAGTCTGCAGAATTGGCAGCGATTTCTGTTGACGCGATCGACTGTGCAATTTTTTTGCCGCGGACATTGATAATTAACTACTGTCGATTGACTTCTTCGAAAAAATCCCTAAAATTAATAAAAATAATAAAATAATGATAAAATGATTAAAATTTAAATTTAAAATATACTTTAAAATATATCTATTGAATCCATAATCGATAATCATAATTAAAAATTGGAATTTCTTATTTCTCACGGTCTTGTTTCTTCTTCTAACAGCTCTCACCATTATTGGTTAGGCTGGCTCCAACGGCTACAAGGGTAAGACGCTTCCAAGCGGCGCGATCTGATGCCATCGTCAACAGTAATGGAAGCCATTCCTTTTCCATCGTCTAAGTCCATTGCTGGTTCACCTATGCATTCAAAATCTTTCCTGATTGTATTACCCAGGTCTTGACTGGCCTTCCTCGCTTTTGACGCTTTCATCACACGGTATAGCAAGTAACGAAATATGCGACAACTCTTGTGATGGATGTCGGAGAATGTGCCCTAACCAGCGAAGGCGGCGCTCTGTGAAAACATTATTCATGCAAGTGGTATTTGAACGAAGGTGGATGCGATCTTGTGAGACTTTATCCACTCGGCGAACCCGTAAAATATACCTTAGACAAGGGTGGTCAAAGGCAGATAACTTTTTAATATCCTCCACTCTCATTGGCCATGTCTCAGAACCATATAGTAAGATCGAACGGATCACGGCAATATAGATGAGGACTTTCGTTTTTATGGTGATTTCACGACGATTCCATAAAGGTTTCGTCAACCGGAAGAACGCATTTCTAGCTGCCGTGATCCGAGTTATAATATCATCTTTTGCCTGTCCAATTGGTATTAGAGTGGACTCAGGATATTCATGGTCTTGCTAATTGCTAAAAAACTTTAATGCTGGAAAATCGGCATAAAAATAGATTTGAAGGCCATTAAAAATCATTAAGTATTAAGAATAAATAAAACTCAGGCTCAGATATAGTTCAGCAAAGAGTTATTTTTTGCCGATCGGATCTTTCTGGAATTCTACCATTAATTTCCCAATTTCGCGAAATTTTTGTAATCAGATTGTTAATTGAAATGAATAAAATTTTATTGCACTTTAAAGACCTCTCAAAGACAAATATTTTGAAAAATTGAAAGACTTTTCGAGATTGGAACAAGCGATTATTTGGAATCAAAAATTTGCGGTGACCAATTGGAAATTCGGAGCATATCTTGATGATATCAGTTGACCCCTATGACAGACTTCCGTCTTGTGAAATAGAGTATCCTTATATTGTCAATTTGCTGGCTAGTATAACAAGGCTAGAAATTTGGGAATAAAAATGTATGATCTCATTTTTAATGGCAGGCTTATTTCTATCGAGGGAAAGGAAAAAAGTCCATCTCCACTTCATCGAAGCAAAGAACCACTTGGTCATCCTAGACCTAAAACTCTCTATTTTTGGTAAATAGTGCAATGATTTCCATCTAACCATATTTAACTAATCGCTTTGATAATTTGTTTTTTAAATTGCAAGGCAGCACGGAATTTTAGAGATTTCTTTAAAAAAAGAATATTGCCAGAAATTTATGAGTAATAATTAGCTTTGAGAGCAGCGATGCTGAACGATTTTGCATGGGATTATTTGCAGGATACAGTTATTTTCAATCCTAATATTCGTAAAATTCCAATTCAAATTTACGAGGCCAACAAAAGTTAAGTGATCATCAATAAAATATAAAAGGCACGTCAAACTAAATCTTTTCGGTGAAAATCATAATCAAATCGTTGCATATAAATGTTTTACATTGGAGAACTTTTCCTCTCATTTTAGATATTTTGAACCTTTTTTTGAACGCCGAGTATCATTAAATCTTTACCGTTAATTTTTTCTTGACTTAGAGTTATCAGGAATTATCCAAAATTCCTTTCAGCAACAGATTAAAAGACAATAAAGGATTAATTAATGGATGACATTCCGATATTCATTACAATTCCAATTAACTAACCAATTTTTAATACATTTTGAAGAACTGGAAATATTTTTATATATTGATACGAGTGTATGATAAACTATGGCGCAATGATTTTTTATTAGATATTTAGCGCCACTGGCCTGTCTCGTATAAATGTTACATAAATTTGATTTAGGGATCATTAAATGATGCTTATTATTTTTCCCTGATATATATTGAAAACCAAAAATAACGTTGCTAGCCATAAGCAGATGAAAAAATTACGCAAGTGAGTAAGTTAATTTCATTGTTTAAAAATAAGGCTCTTTCACCTCTATCGAGATTCCATAATAACCTCGTAGACAATTAACTAATAATTAATTAATAATTAATTTTTACAGTACCCAAATAGAAATTAATATCATTAACAGAAGATATGAAGATAAAAAGAAAGAAGACACTAAAAAATTATTTCGAGACATCCTCAAAAAAATATTTTAATTTAAAAATTTCACCAATTTGGTAAAAAGTGGAATGGGAAAGTATTAGGATTTTGAATAAAATGATGCTGAAATATGGCTAGCGACAAAATTATTTAAAAAATTCTGAAGAAAAAATTGTTGATAAATTTTTATTAGTAAGATTTTTTTGTTGCACAGTCCGTACTAATAAAACTCCCAAGGATTTTACTCCCAAGTTGTGAATTGGAAATGCAATTTTACCCTCGGAATTTTTTTAAAAGCAGAAAATCTCAAGGAAATTCTTATTATAATTTCAAACAAAATTGATGAAATTTTTTAGCCAACCTTACATCCTTCGCAAGTTATAACACCATAGTGAACGCCAGATGATTTATCGCCGCACACCTTACACGGTATTACTTCAATTTGTGCTGAAACTAACAAAAAAAGAGTTCGGTATATACTTGAATAAGGAGCAATTTACCCTGTTATTTCTGGGTCACTCTTGTCCAACTATTTTTGCTTTGAACCAGCGAATTTTGTATTATCGATTCTTTTATGGAGTGAATGACAAATGTCGAAAAATTTTCACAAAAATCGGAGAAAAAAAGGTTAATAAGCGATGTAGACAATTTATTTTCCATAGCACATTTTGCTTTTTCGCCAGAGAGTCATTGAAGCTTATATAGGATCCACAGTGTCACCATCTACTTCAATTTCAAAGTTTTTTAATGATTCCCTGATTATAACTACATGCAAAGATATAATTTATCCAAGGAATAGATCCACTTGATTCTACATTGAAAATTCATTATTCTGTACTTTTTTAGATACTTCTATCCATTAGACTATAATAAATGCCCATTTTTGGTTAGATGATTATTAGTATGGCTAAAAATTTTCGCAAAAAGTCAGTTGATGATAGGGGAACAAGTGGATCACCAGCACCTAGGTTTTTCAATGAAAATTTCTTGTCAGAGTTAGGGGTCTTGCCTCGCAACACGAAAAACATAACCATTTTGATATTCAGCAGACTTTATAAATAACGAAATAGTAAGGAAGTTTGGCGCATAAACAAGGTTACGAAACAAAACAAAGGCGATTGAAAAATAAAAGTATGAACATTTTATCTGTTAAAAAATACTAGCCAATTTCCTTCAGCAAAGTTCTGTCATAAAACCAAAGAAAATGAAAAATTAGTATTTTACAAGATTAAAAATAAAAGCAAGCTAATATTAAAAACTATATTAAAAATAAACTAAAATTAATATTTTTTTCCCTGAATCTCTCTTCCTCTTTCTCGTTCACATCAATCATCTCATTTCTGGTTTAAATGGCTCAACTGACTTTTGCCAGGTCGCTTGAGGAATGGCGGACGCTTAGTACTTGGAGTTTAAAGAAATTTGATTTAAAAAATTCGAGGAATTATATTAGATTATTGGAAGAAGACGAAAAAATTTATATAAATAGCGAAGCATTAAGGGATTTAAGAAAAAGTTGATTATTCTTTCACTGTGTTCAAATTAATATTTTAACTAAATTCTTTCATTTTCTTTAAAATTCATTTAAATTAAAATTATAATGGCTATGAATAGGTAATTCTTTAAGATTTGAGTGCAGTTCTCAAAAAATTTTATAAATGAAATATCGAAAGATCTTTTAAACTTAATTAAACATTTTGTTGATGAACTTTTTGCAATTGACCGTATAATTTCCAATTTGACCTAAAAAGTTTAGGAAACAAAATTTTTGATTCCGCGACAAAAAAAAAAGAAGGAAGAAAATCTGTGGAATTTTTATAATATAGTATAGACAGTTTTAACATTGAAACCTCAAAAAATTGAAACTACATCGAAAAATATTCAAATTAAAAGTAAACTAAAAGTAAAATAAAAGTAGCATTTCACTTTTCTTGCTTAGGCAGCTGGCTGTGGCTAAAATTCTCGTCAGGGAATTGTTGGACGAAAAAAGATGATAACCACCACCACTTGGATTTTTAAAAAGTGCAATCGGGGACATGAGCCATGAATGCTCTCAATACTTTAAACCAATATACATTCGACTATTTTGCGCTTATTTTAATTATATAACTTTATAAAATGCAAAAGAATTCTAATAGAATTTAAAGAATTATAAAAATTTCAACAAACACAACAGCAATCTCTTAAGAGAGAATAATTATAGATCACAACAAATTGTAATTACGTAAAATTAATTTCAGTAGAAGTTAGTGAATCTGAAGTTAGTGAATCCCTTGTTCGGCCACAACATTACTAACTTATGTGAAAATATTCATTTGATTCGATGAAATATTCAGGATTTCCCAATATCGATGATTTCCCAAAGGTATTTCGATTACCATAATCCAAGCTTCGTGAATATTTAATAGAAGTGATGATAAGATAAAATACGTTATTGCAATTATAATTAATAAAGATAATTTTTATAAAAATTTTCCATTGTTTTAAAACACTTTTTTAGAAAAAATTAAAAATTCAACGCTCCATTTGAGATATTAAAAATCCAGGAAAGATAAATCGCGCAATAATTACGATAAAAGCTTGACGATCTCGTAAATTTATCAAATATTTATCAAAAAAAATGGAAATTTGGTGAGGCGTTTTTTTGCAAGTGTGGTTCTCTAAAATAAAATTTTTCTTTCTTCTTTTCTAGATTTGACCTAAATGAAGACAAGCCAAAAGACAATAAAAGAATAAAAGGATGTTTTTCCTGAAAAAGATTTTATTTTAATTTTTTGCATATCCAAAATACTTCTGTTTCCAAATAAATCCCTGGCCAAAAAATTTAATAGACAACGGAGCTGAAGTGGTGAGCGCTAACTATTTTGTTTACAATTTATACTAGAAAGAAATTTTCAAAGAAATTTACCCAGAAAAATAAAGCTAAAATCATCATCTAAGTTTTTCTTTTAGAGGCATTCTTATAAATTATACGCTAAATTAACAATGGAACAATGCATGTGCTGAATGGAAAATCTGGAATCGTGGAATATAACTATCATTGTATCGATGTTATTAATAAAATTTTTCGAAGTGTAGCTTCTATGAGAAAATTTAGTCCATAAAACTATTACATAAAAAAAAATGAGAATTCCTCGAATGTTTCATCTGGAATACTTTTTCTCTACTTTACTTTTTCTCTGCCGTGTTTTTAATATTTTTTTTAATATTTTTGTATCTATATAGAAATTTTAAAGGAAATTGAAATTTCAGAGCGTCAAATCATAAAAGTAATATATTTTACAAATAAAATGAAAAAAAATCTTTAACTATTTTTACCTGTTTCAAAGACATGTTAATTTCAAAAAAAAGAAACGAAGGAATGAGTAAATGAATAGCCATTGCTCATTATGTTAGCCCTACCAGCTGTTGGAAATTTATGCCAGAGAGTCATTTGCAGTAGGAGTACTTATGACTAATCAAGGAATCGACCCTCCGAACAATCATAGCTCCACTTTCCTAGTCTTGGCAGAAATAGAAAAAACTGAACAATTTCGAAAATTTTAGTGAAAATAAAAACAAAAATTCTAGTGAAAATTGTTTTTCAAAAAAAACAAACTAAAGATTTTGGTAACAAATCGAATTGATCACACAGGTTATTATAAATGGTT